GGTGAAACTCTACATTCGAGATCAGGTTTTAAGGCTACCAATCTTGAATTTTATACCGCTGGTATTGGTTCATGAAGACCCTCAATTTTTGAGTGTTCTCCGCCAGGTCTCACCAGATTTCATACATTATGAATACAAATTGAATATTAAAAGTAAACTTCAAAAAAATATTCGTTTTGTAACCTAAATTTTAAACCGTTGGAGTAAAATGGGTTGGGGGGGTATGAGCGACCTTGTAAACTTGAGGCTTTATGAAGGGCCAACAATGAACAGTTTTAGCATAAAAAGATTTAAAAGAAGCCATTATTTTTTGTAGCATAAATTAAGTTTAAGAAGTACTGCCTTTTTACGGCTCTATTTTTTCAGTCTTGGTAATGACTGATTTTTTACCAAGGCAGCTGCTTCAAAACGTGACTTCATATAATACAGTCATATTTATGAAAAGAATAATGCAAAATTGAAACATTCAAGTTGAAATAACAGTGGTGCTCAATGTTTATTAAAAACAAGAAAAACATCGTGCCTTATAAGAGACCAATGACCATTTATAAAGCTGTTGAAGGAATATCAACGATAAGTTAAAAGAAACTACTGATAGACCTTATTTTCCGATTCAGAAATTTTTAACAGTTTTGACATTTTGAGCTAGGTAAACATTTTTCAAATATTTGCTCTAGAGAAAAGTATTTTGTTAGACTTAAATGAAACCGATAGTTGAAGTAGACTTCAAGCATTAAGCCTGCAACAGATAGTTTTAGTTGATTTTTAAGCGGGTGACCACATTACCCCATTGGCCATATTGCCCCGCTTTCCCATATTCGATATTTTTTCAACAAATCATAACTTGAAAACGTCACTTTCAGTCAAAATGACGTCTGACGGTGACGACAAAGTTTTAGGAAAAAAAGATATTCTTCTTCAGAAAAAAATATGTACGGTAAAATATTTATGTAAAAATTAGAAAAAAAAAAGTGTTTGGTAGGGGAATTTACGTATTCTCGGCAACCTAAGCAGCGACCTTCTTTCTATAGCCTTTTTCTCTATGGAACGCACACATATGCAGTATTGGTTTGTTTACAATCTTTTGCTGCCAGCTGCACTAACAATTTCAGTCGAAAGAATTGTCAAAAACTGTTTTGAAACGCTTTTACAAAGCTCCAATCTTCTCTAGTGAGAGCGAGTATTGTCGGCAACCAGTTTTTCTTCGGCAACCGTTCCATTTGAACTGCATGTAAATCTGCTGTTCTATTATCGGCAACTCGAAATCAGCTACAATTTGTAGTGCGTGTGTTTCATTTCAAGAAAACCTTGCTAGATTGCTTTTTCTCAGTGGTAAAAATATAGTCAAATTGAAGCTGAAAGCATAAGGAATCGTTTGCATGCATTCAGCGAAGTGTTTTCGTAAGAAAATCCAGTGAAAATAGTGTTTCAATTTGGGTTGCCGAAAATAGTCTGGCATGCCGAAGCAGTCATTTCCCCTACTTAAATTACTAAAAATGATCCTCATTAATATTTTTTGAATATTTTTCATTAAAAAGTTTATAAATAAATACTAACTTCTGTGACATTTTCAAGTTTGACATTTAAAAATTAAAATTAAAATATTTCAATTAGTTCGAATACAACTTTTCATCGTTGTGTAGGTGCGCACCATGTGTAGTCTATGCATTGGTATTGGTGTCAGCTCTAGCCTCATATATCTAGACGAACAATTGAAATAGGCGGAACAACCAAACGTAAACAATGGCTTTAAACGCAAATTTCTCGAGAATCAACACACACCCACGCAAACTAACAGTGCCATTCGATAAAGGAAGTTTGCTCTATCAGATGCTGGTGTTAGATTGCGTGGGTGTGTGTTGATTCTCGAGAAATTTGCGTTTAAAGTCATTGTTTACGGTTTGGTTGTTCCACCTATTTCAATTGTTGATCTAGATATAGGCTAACCGACGCGCAGAGATGCCAGATTTACAGGCATGTCTGTGAATTCACAGACTTTTATTTTTTTCACAGACATTTTTTCCGTTACAGACATTTACAGACTTTTTAGTTTTTTTCACAGATATGTACAGACTTTTGTAATCAAGGGAAGATTTTAAAATTTATTTGGTTACACTGTGTTACATCTTTAATCAAATTACAAAAAAATGCGATGCATTTTGCAACACGCATTAGAAATTCGCGCGTTTTCAAATCCACCACACGAACGTTATAGACGGTCATAGTTATAGGCCTGTCAATGTGCTGCCATGTTGTAACCAAAACGAAGATTTTCCATACGATTACTATGTTGAATTCGATGTGATTTGAGGTACCGAACGATGCATTGCCGATGCAATGCCCCTAATTTGGGCCCATACATAAATTCAGCAATCGACTAAATTTTCAATAGCAACCAAGTAACAGATTTTTAGCAATGGGCCCAATCTTAGATCCATAGGCCAACATTAGAGCCATTTCCTCTTTATCTTATTTTAAAACTGTATTTGTAAAATCGTTACAACAGTGTTTCCTGATCCTGATTCATCAACACTTTTTGAGCACAAAGTGTTTAGAATCGTATTAATAAGCTTATAAATTGCCCTTTTGATTGTCGATTTCTCCATATTTAGGTGGTGATCTGACATTCCAAGGTAATGAAGCTCTGACTTACGATTGTAGAATAACCGTATATTTCAGTTTCAGTTAGTTTTAATAATAAACCAATTGCGCAGATAGAATTCAATCTTGTTTTTATGCTGAATCATATTCTAACTTTCTTAAGTCCTATGTTGCTATTTTCGTTCGACAACTTCTTGTTATTTACGAATCGACCCGATACCATGTGGCAATAGTCACACGCAATCGATTATGCTTATTGCAAGTATGCTAAGCTATGTAAACAATCATTTCATTCACTGCGCCGTCTGCGTGCGTTGTTAATCCCCTTGCGCTTGACCTAGTAAACAAGTTTATTGCATTTGGGATTTCTCAGGAATGTTTATTTGAGACCCGGTGGAAGTGCTTAGAATACATTTCTGGCATTTTGATTTACAAGTCATTTACATGTGCTCCCAGCTAATATGTCGTAAAGATTCTTAATAAACATTGCTTCAATAGAAATTTACTCAGATAAGAATATCTTGGATTTTTCTATTTATACAGAAAGCTATATTTATAGACTCTCAAAATCGTTTATTATGTTCAAATTAAAAAAAAAATGAACTAAAAGCTTAACATTTGATCAAAAGTATACAGCTATCCCCCGAAGAACGCGGTTTCAACCAGTCGGTCTGATTTTTTGCATGTGAGTAGTGCCAATGGAGAACTAGTCACTCGCAGAAAATCAGAGCGCTTAGTTGAAAACCCACCGAGACAAAGCGGTGGGTAGAACTCAGTGGGTAACGCGTTCTTCAGGGGAAAGCTGTAGTTTGTTTGCGAGATTGAGCTTTTATCCGCGAGAAATCGGCGATTAATCTGTTCATTTACAAAAGCATGTACACCCTAATCACGAATCAGTCCGAAATTGTGAAAAGAATTCCAATGTCAGAAGAGCCCCGGTAAAATTAAGTTCCTAACTAATTCTGGGGAGAATTTTAAGGAAAATTCTGAGAAGAATCCCAAGGGAATCGAATTATAAGGATCCGAGGACCATAATGGGCCTGGGGTCAATCCCAGTTGGCACCGCCGGGATTTTCTGAGGCATAAAAACACCTTCCTTCGGAAGGGAAGTAAAGCCGTTGGTCCCCGGTCCATGATTTGATGGGTCGATAGGTACGGGAGCTGCCTCCCTGGCGTCGGTAGCATCGGTACTCAGTAAGGAAAACAAGATCGACGGAAAACAAATTGCCGAGGAATTCTGAGAAGATTTTCTAGAGTATTATGAGCAGGGTTCTACATTTGCGAATCTCTAAAATGAACTCGAGTTTTGTTTTTTTTTCATGCAACTTGTTTAATGCATAATTTCTATAACGCCTAGCTAACCTATCAGTACAAAGCGAAAATGAAAAAGAAGGTTGGCTGTGGATTTTTTCGTCTTTTGCTTTGCTCGCCCCTTTCAATGAAAGTTACGTCGAATTTCGAGTTGAAACGAAGTCTCAATTTGACTTTCAATCCTTTTCACCGACACTGTCACCTGCTCTTTCAATTTAATTAATATGCGTTATGTCCCGTTTTCCTTACTTTTTTTTTTACTTATATAACGTGTACTTTAACTAATTATGTTTTTATTACTCCGTGAAGTTAACGATTTACATAGTTGGAGATGCTTAACGACAAATATCAGACTTAAAATGTTCATTTAGATTCATACGATAGATGGGGAGATGAAAGCATAGAGTTGATAGTTCCGTTAGAGTACGGCACTGTGAAAATTGTATATAGAGAGTAGAATGCGAGCAAAGGTCAATTTTGAGGAAGGCACGAATTTGGTTAATCATCTCCTTTACCAAACTCCCCTGTTGGAGAGGGATGTTGAGGGTTACCTCCCCACGTCACCACTGGAAGAGAATGATCGCCGATTTGCTCACGTACCTTCAATGAGTGGAAACAGTTCTATCGATTGTTTCACACTCAAGTCGTCATGTGACGTAAGCATCTAGTGGATAGGTTTTGAAATTGCAGCTATTGTTACCTCTACCGCTGTATGTGCTCCTGTCATCGTCAACTTAATGATCTCGAGGAGACACGGGTAGCGGAGGTGCTGTCACTGTACCTTTCGACCAATGATAGTCATTGGTCGTCTGAGATCTTTCCACGCTTTCACCATTTTCGCATTTGTAAACTGTGCGGAGAGTTGAGAAATTTTGTAACCTTACTTTATGAAGCTGCACCTTTAGCGATTGAGCTTATGGAAGCCCTATTATTTTCGTGCCACTCACCAATCAATCAATAAGCCGTCTTGAGACTTTGGCGCGTGCTGAGTTTCAAAAATCAATGAAATGATATCACAACCACTCACATGATTGGTTACGGATTTAATTTACCTAATAATTTCTCTGCTTTCTCTCCCCCACGTGTAGGTTCAAATCTTAAACAACAATGTCAAACTTGCAGCAAATTTCCTCGCCCGATGCCCCTCGTGCATGGCCAACCTGGTGCGGCACATGTGTGACTTCACCTGCAATCCAAAGCAGTCCACCTTCATGGAAGTGAAGGCGACCGAAATTAATGAAATTACCAGTGAGTATCAATAACCCAGTTCTCAGAACTTAAATCCATCAACTGATTAATCGTACCCAACATTGCAGAAAAAGACTACATCACCGAAATCGATCTGCACATCGCGGAGCAGTACCTGAATGGCACGTACGGCTCATGCAATCAGGTCTCGGTTCCGGCCACCGGTCAACTGGCACTGGACATCATGTGCGGCGAGTGGGGCGCTTCCCGGTGTAGCGCCAAGAAGTGGTTCAACTTCATGGGTACCAAGGATGGAAACGCCTTTGTGCCCTTCCAGATCAACTACATCGCCCACCAAAACAACAGCGATAGCACGTTCGTACCGTTGAAACCGCGGGTTGTTCCATGCAGCGAAAAGTTGGATGTAAGTACCTGGGACGAGTGGAAAATTGTTTGCAAACCGAGAGAAGGTTAACTACATTTTCAGCTCCAGGGTAGACTGATTGAAAAATGCCTGAAGGGCTAGTTACGGTTGACATTTCCAACTTGTTGTGAACCAGTCGACGTTTGACCTTTGCTCTACCGTTTGCTTTCATCCGGAATCAACAGAAAACTAATTCAGACTTGCTAACTTTATCCGTTTCCAGAATAAAACTCCTGCCTGTTCGTGCATTGACTGCGATGCGTCCTGTCCGCGACCACCGCCCCCGGTACCCCCACCGCAGCCATTCGTGATCTACGGCTTCGATGGATACGCCGTGGTCATGTTCTTTGTGTTTCTCGTCTGCAGCGGGCTGTTCGTGATCGGCGCATGCCTCTGCCAGTCCGGGAACAACAACGGTGCCGGTAAGTTTCGCATGTTCATGCTTTCGCTCACTAAGCCGTTTCGCCTCCATCATTCTTGTTCAACCCCCTCAATTCGTGTTTAAAAACAGTATAAAAAAAAACATAATTTTTCTTTCTAAGTGAGTGCGCGCGTGTTGCTCATTTTTTTTCCTACACTCACTTTCAAAATTGCACTTTTGCCAAATTCGTCGGAATATTACTGCTTGGAGATACCTTTGGAACGTCACCAACACTGGCGTACGAGTGCCAATAAGTTTTTCCGTTTTCCCCCCTTTTATTAGACCTTCAATTTGTATTTCGCATGGGAAGAAATGGAACCGGCAGCAGCACACGTGTGCTGCATATATTTACTGATTTGCTTTCTTATCTCAATTTATGTGTTTTCACATACTAACATGGCAAAATTGTGATCTCTTTTATGTTTTCCCTCCGGTATAATGGGAGAAGAGAGAGTGTACTCCGGCACAGTAAAAATTCCTACAGTAGTGGTTTACTAACCTTAGAGATAAAGTTTTTGTTCGGTTCTTTTTTTCATTTTATTGGGTTAGCGGGAATGACACGTGTGCTAACTTTTATTTTTGTTATAAGTGTGGAAGTTATCTAGATAGTAAACAGTTCCTAGCCTTAATTTAAACCCTTGTCAGATTAAGGTTCCTGCTTATCGGTAGTCGTATAGGCGTGAGTGAATCCATTAGCGGTGAAGCAAAGAAGGAAAAATAGAAATAAATCCCACTCGCTGATAAGGAATGTCTTGGTTGGTGTCAAATGCAGCGTGAGTCATGTTTACGCTTAGTACAGGTTTTTATCAATTGCAAGCAGCTGCATGTGCTCACTAGAAAAAAAAAACATAGTGATCGCATATCGAAAACAAAACGATAAAGGTGCGGTATTCATCATTTCCACATAAATCAGAATCGACGCGAAGTCACTTTTTTGTTGCGAAATTATTTTGCTATCATATTGCAGAGTGTCGTTGTTCTGATACGGCAGAATGTTTCTGTAGAGTTTCGTCTTTCTCAAACACAGATAGTGACCTAGTCAGCGACAAACCGACATGAACTTAACTTTCGCTCGAAAATATCTAACCATCCATTCAAATGTGCAGCGATCCCATTTGTCAAAATCATACACACTTATATTTTTTTACAGGAGTTAGTATTTTTTTACTGGGTTTTTGAATTACTGAAAAACTCGGTTAAAATTCAAATTACCATTCCTGGCGTAAAGATTCAATAAAATCGACAAATTCTATTTTTCATCATTAAACGGGGTTAACAGAAGTAAGTCTGTAAATTTTCGTAACACATTTTCGCATCTTTGAATTTTCCACAGATTTTTTAAATTTTACCGAACAGTTCCGCAATTCAAAAACTCAGTAAAAAATACTGACTGAATAAGTGTGTAGGAACTTTTTATCTAGATAAAAATAACTTGTCCAGAATAGATTAGACACGAACCAACTTATAAGTTTGGCACGCGTATTCGTGGTTTAGATAAACGTTAAAGCACCGACGAACCGACATGACACTGGAGCATTTCGTTTGTCCGCAATTCAATTTGACAAATGAGCGATTCGATCTGTCCAACGGGCGATCAGATCTGTCAAATGAGGTGAGACGCAAATCAAGTCAATCTAAATTTAACGTGTATTCGTGTCCTTGCTCATGATATGACGCGATCTTATGAGTAGATGGCGGTAGTGTTTAACGTAATTTAAATATGGCGTCTCGGGCAAGATTTTGAAAGTAGCTTCTATGAGCTGTCACGTTTTCTTTTTTAGTTAACAGACTAAGCGAAATATTCAATAAAATTAGAAAATTATAAAAATCTTTAAAAACCCTGAAAATAAACAAATTTTCAGTATTTTTGTGCTTTGAAAAGTTTATAAAATCTCTGAGTAAGATTTTTTTATGAAAGATGCTAGACTACAGCAAATCTAGAACACGTTTTCAAGATCTAAGTTGAACATTCCGCACTTGGAGAAAATTTTAAAAACCCTGGCTCTCAAAAAGTTTCCATGATTCTGACACCTGAACAAATATTCGAGATGCCAAAGTTTGTTATATTGTTAAGAATCCTAGTTTATAAAAGTCAGTTGTTTACCACTGGGGCCTCCCTTAGCTCAGTCGGTAAAGGCGCAGCTACAAAGCAAGACCATGCTGGAGGTGACTGGGTTCAATTCCCGGTCCGGTCTAGGAATTTTTCGGGTTGGAAAATTTCTTGACTTTCTTGGGCATAGAAGTATGATTGGACTTGCCACACAATTATACCAATGCAAAAATGGTACAGGCATCGTAAGCTCTCAATTAATAACTGTGGAAGTGCATCTTAGAACACTAAGTTGATAGCACGCAATAAGCTAATATGCCATACGCAATAAGCTTGAAATGCGAGGAAGAAGAAGAAGTTGTTTACCACATTGATTTTTTTTTTAATTTGGCGCTGAGAAACTGGGGTGTGTGTGTCTGGGTTCAGTTCCAGTCGAAGTCGTTGGGATTTTTCTGAAAAAAAAGTCTGATCCCGCCTATCTTCGGAAGTGAAGTACAGGGTGGCAAGTGAACCGGGAAAACCGTGAAAATCGGGAAACAACCGGTAATTTGAAAATTAGCCGCGAAAACCGGGAATTCGACGGAAGAACCGGGAAAAATCAATAAACCTTAATATATTCCAACAAAAGATAAAAGATGAATAACAGATGAGCTTAATCAAGCTAACATAAGTTTCTTCAGCTCTTAATTATTTTATACCTTTGAAATCATTTTTGACCTTTCGCCAAACTCGCCTCAGAAATCCTTTGGAATTCTCCTCAGAATACCTTGGAGTTCTGTGCTGAATTTTAGTGAAACTTGCTTTTGAATTTAATTTAAATTTTTCGACATTTTTATTTAATTACCTCAGAAGACGATTTCGCCGAAATTTTTCTCAGATCTTGCTTAAAGTTGTCATGTGAACCTTTCTCAGTATTCGTTTGAAATTATTATCAGAAAATCCTTTAAATTCTGTTTAAATTCTACTTAAAATTCTTTTTAAATTCTCCTTAAAATTCTCTCTTACAATGACTTAGGAATTCTCCTTGAATTTCCTCCCACAACTCCCTTGTAATTTTTCTAAGAGTGCGTCAGCACTTAATTCTAGAATTAATTTAGGATATTTGTCAGAGCACCGTTGAATTTTTCATCGAGTTCTTCTCAGAATTTTGAATTTTCAAAATTCTATAAAATATAAAAGAACCCTGAACATTTTTCCAACACCACACAATTTGCCAGCGATTGTATTATTTCCAAATCTGGAATCTTGAAAAAAATTCTAAGTTAGAGATTTTGACTATTTTTCTCAGGTTCATATTGTTGGAAAAAATCCAATCCTGTTTTTTTTTCTCCTAAATCTAGGATAAATTTTTATAAGTCACAAATCTCCAAATAAATTACATATTCTAAGACTATAAACACATATCAAAGGCTCAGAATCATAGAAATTAAAATTGTTTTTATGATGTAATTTGTTTTTAAGATTTATGTTAGTACAGATCACGATACTTAATAGAAATCTTGCTCCGTATCAAGTTCAAGATTTTTAAAACAATTTCTTAGCATAAAAGGTGATACGGTCAAAATTTGGTCAAGGGAAAACGCGTATAAATCGGTGAAATCGTTTATTTAAAAAATCAAATTAAATTTCTTTTTCAAGTTCAATTAGTATAAAATTCAGGAAAAATATTCAGTTAGGCTTCCGCTTTTCCAAATCCGAATTGCCGGGCCTTACGCTTGACCCCTGCCATCAGATTTTGTACAGCCACCTTGTCCACCTTCTTCGCCGCAGAAAGCCAGTTTGCCTTGAACTGCTGCTCGCCCTTAGCAGTTTTTTTGGTCTTCTTTAGGTTCCGCTTGACAATAGCCCAGTATTTCTCAATTGGGCGGAGCTCTGGCGTGTTGGGAGGGTTCTTGTCCTTGGGAACCACCTGCACGTTGTTGGCGGCGTACCACTCCATGGCCTTTTTACCGTATGGCAAGATGCCAAATCCGGCCAAAACAGTACGGAACAACCGTGTTTCTTCAGGAAAGGCAGCAGACGTTTATTCAAACACTCTTTCACGTAAATTTCTTGGTTGACAGTCCCGGAAGCTATGAAAATGCTGCTTTTCAAGCCACAGGTACAGATGGCTTGCCAAACCAGATATTTCTTTGCGAACTTTGACAGTTTCATGTGCTTGAAAACATCTGCTACCTTTCCCCTTCCTTTTGCCGTATAAAACTCCTGTCCCGGAAGCTGCTTGTAGTCGGCTTTGACGTAGGTTTCGTCGTCCATTACCACGCAGTCAAACTTCGTCAGCATCGTCGTGTACAGCCTGCCTCCGGGATCGCGCTTTGGCCGTCGTATTTTGTTTATCATCGCGATTTGGAGTCACTACCTTCTTGTAAGTCGATAGTCCGGCTCGTTTTTTGGCTCGATGCACGGTTGTAGACGATACACCCAGCTTATTTGCGGCATCTCGGAGAGAGAGGTTAGGGTTTCGCTTGAAACTACCGGCAACTCTCTTTGTCGTCTCAGCGGCTTCCGGTTTTCGATTTCCCCCCGATCCAGACTTCCTGGCTGTCGACAAACGTTCCCCAAACACTTTAATTACATTTGTAACGGTTGATTTGGCAACTTTTAGCGATTTTGCCAACTTTGCGTGCGAGTAGCTCGGATTTTCGCGATGCGCGAGCAAAATTTTGATACGCTGCTCTTCTTGCTTGGACGGCATTTTGACAACTGAAGAGTGAATTCCAAAATCAAAATAGGAGCAACATTCTACACACACACACCTTCAAAATGAGGGGTGTTCAGGTTTTTTAAATGCAAAATTGAAAGAAATACGTCAAGTTGATATTGACCAAATTTTGACCGTATCACCCTTTAATCTCTCCCTCTAAAATGAACCATTCAGTTCGATAGCGTTCGGTTATGCGAGTTCAAAAAAATCCATGATTCTGGTATTTTGTATATTCTGGTGCTGTACA